CACACACACACACACACACACACACACACACACACACACACACACACACACACACACACCCATACGGACACACACATACAAACACAAGCCATATCACTAAATATACTCTTCAAAAATATCCCAAGTTTAAACTAAGACTTTTCTTTATATCAGAAAGTGAAATTGGAAGTTCTCGCCTTTGTCCAACACTGATAGACAAAGATGGATGCACATGCACACATAAACACACAAAAACCCACTGATGGAGTTGAGTTAATTAATACGCTTCCTTACACACATTAATAAGCTCTTAACTGCTTTTAGGATTCTTACTTTTTAGCACTGGGTTCATAGTGTGCAACCTCTCAACCTCATCTAATCGCTCTGCTCTCTTCTTCTCCAGATCCCACAGCACCCGGCCATGTTTAGGGGGATAATGGCAGAGGAGAGAAGCAAAAAAAGAGGGAGGACATGGAGAGGCATGGAGGGATAGAAAGTCTGATCGGGGGGGATGTTGATTAGGATAGCAAAGGAGGAACAGGAGGTGGGGGGGCACTGTCTTAGCACTTAGCCATATAGAAGTTTGGGAGTTCACTTTACTCTGAATTTTAGCAGTAATCCAGTTAGCTATTTTCTGTCAGCCAAGCGGAGGAATGGCAGGAACAAAAGGCACATTCATGGGCTTAAGAAGCTTCCAAAGAGTTCACCCAAGGCTGGTTGGCTGGGATTAGGCCAGCAGGCCCTGGAAAGAAGAAGTGTGGGGGGGAGGGGGGGGGAACGAGCAAAGAGGACAAAAAACAGAGCTTTGCCTTTCTTTAAGCTCCACTTATTTCTATAAATGACTAGAATAGTTTTCTCATTTATTTATATATATATTTTTATGTTTCTGCTTTTAGCATTGGTTACCTAAATGATTAGAGACAAAGAATGAGGCTCTTTAACAGAGTTTTGAGGATTTTTTTCTTTTATTTTACTCTAAATATATTCATCTTGATTACAATATTGATAATAAAATGCTGCATTAAAATCACAATAGAGTAAAAAATACTGGAGCTCACTGGGTTACTGGCGGTAATAATTCTGTGGTAAATTGTGTGCCCTAATGTATGGTGTGTTTGTGGACAGACTAATTCAGATGAGGACTTGACTTTTCTGGTTTCTCTTCACATGAATCATCTGATCTTTGTTGTTTTCAGTTTTTGGAGGCCAGTGTAACACAAACAGGGTATCCTGTATTGTCTCATTCTGTTGAATTTGAATCATACATAGTGTGTTTTCTAAAGACAGTTGCATCCATTAGGTTTTGCCTCAACGTGTAACCATTATTCCCAGCTGCACCTGTGCACAGGGAGGGCTGAGGTCCTTGTCTCGGTCTGTGTTTGTGCAAAAAAATGTCTGTGTTCCTGTGTTCACAGTGCAATACAAAATGTTGTGATGATTAAATAAAGTGCACACTTTCACAACTGTACACACATACTAAAGCTTGATTATAAAAATTAGCTCACAGACACACTAGACTGGATTTTTGATTTGTCGCCCTCACTTTTTTGTCCCAACCTGTAGCCAACAAGCAATTATACAGTCAGAGTTTATTTGACCTTTGACACGCAGGCTAGACAAGAAGTAAGACTCAGC